AAAAAAAAAAACACCTTCAACCAGTGGAAGAAGAGCAGAAAGACAGACAGACCCTTCTTGTTTTTCCTTTAACAAGCAGGAGGCATCAACTCGGACAAGCAGAGCGGGTACAGCGCATTAAATTTTTATGGACTCTTCCTAATGCCACCTAAACTGGGGGGCCCTTAAAAAATTGACGAGGGAGGTTTGATTGCCGTGCTTAGAAGAAATGAAAATAAAACGTCAAGTTGAACGGGAGCCGTTCCCTGGGCGTTATTCGAAGCGACGCCGTCAACGCGGGGCGTTGAAAATCAAATGTCTCGATTAGGTTACAAGGACGCCTTTGATTTCCCGCTCTGATCTGTGTGTTTTAACGCGCAGTTTGGGCTTGCAGTTCTTCCCTGGGTGATCTGCCAGGCAGGAGAGTTCGGTCTGATCAGGCTAACGGGTTAGATCTGTAGATTAAATCGAGCACGGAGTGTCTTTACAGGCATCAGGTACCTCAAACACAGCTTTTGATGCCATAAAGGCACGGACAGGGAGCAGGAGAAGAGCCAGACTGATTTTAATTCCAACAAGTCCGGTTGGGTGAGAAGGTGCTGAAAGATTTTAAGCCAGAACTGCACTTGGTAGAGGAAGAGTGGGGAAGGGATGAAGTGGGGTTGGTCTATTGGCTATTTTATAATCACAAGCCACAGCCTAACTGCACAATGCAGATTTTTCTTCTCTAATGCCCACCTAGTTAGAGTGAAGACGTTGAACTACATGGATTTATATAAATATATGTATATTTAAATACATATAAAAGTTCTGGATGTGCCAGAAAGTAACTTATAGACCTCTGACCTTTGCTGCTACGTCTACAGGTCCTTGTAAAGCCCATCCTCTGCATCCCTCATGTGGGACATACATTGTGCTTGGGCATAAATGTGGAAATGTTGGTCAAAAACTCATCTTTTTTTTTTTTTTTAATCAGTGAGAGCAAAGCACAAGAGATAAATAATATGCATAAACTTGGTTCTTATTACATAAAGCAATGGAATTGTTGAAATAATTAAATACCGAAACTGAGACTTCCCCCTGACAGAAGTTCTGCCCAGATAAGCTGCCCTTAACTTGAAAAGTAAATAAATAAATAAAAAGATCAAGCAGCAAACTGCACCATTAAAAGAAGCAGCACTCAGTCTGAAAACTTAAACCCTCTCCCACCGATACAAGAAATCCCAACCCGTGTTTAATAAAGGCCAAGACTGGGGTTTGCCTCTCGTTTCATGAAGGAACATTCTATGCACAATTTAACATGTTTTAATATAAGAACATTGGCTGATTGCATTGTTATATGTGTTGAAAAAAATTTCATTACGGGAGGACAGGAAAAGTAATAAGTTACCATGGAAGCACGACGTACATATGTGAGGTACATGTAACTTCAGACTTACACAGATGTTATTAAAGACATCCTCGTTTTTACCCTCTGATTTATAACTTTACATGCTAAAATTGGGGGGTGTTTTCATTAAAAAAGTGGAAGCCCCCTGAATATTGTTGACATGTGTAAAAAGGAAGGGTTTGTGTTTTGGTTCGAGGGGGTTTCTCTGCTGGTGGGGGCAAAATTAAAGAGCATTGATGATGTGCAGTTTAACTGAGAAAATTAAAGTAGTTCACCAAAGAAAATGACACCAAACTGCCTTGTGGTTTCCAGGTAAAAATATGGAAGTTAAACTGCTCATTCTCACCAGGTGAGAAGGAATTTTGGAAGAAATCAGCATTTAAAAGTCTCCATTTAAAGAGCACATGCAAAAGGCCTCGTTTAAACAAAACCAGCACAGCTGTGGTTGCTAAATCTCCTGCAGGGAAAAAAAAAAAAAAGGGGGGGGGGGCAGAAAAAAAAGGCAAAAACCACCCCAAATATCTGTTTTGAACTCAAATCAAGTATTACCCATGTGTAAAAAGAAAGTCTTCCTACACGAAGAGCTTCCCTGAGTCAACAGAAAAACAAGTACATGAGAAAATCAAACTCTTCCTACCCACAGCTTCATCAGAAAGGCCTTTTTGGCATCTAAGGAAGCAAATCAAGTCATCTTACCTGCACATGACCTCGTGGGTGAGCAGCACTCTGCACATCTCGGGGTTCTTGTTCTGTCCTTCGTAAGTTATGGGCTACAAAAAATCAGGAGAAGGGTGGGGGTAAGCCAGGAGCTTTATTTATCATAATATTCAGGTGTGAGGGGAAGGGGTTTTTACCACTGCTCAGGCAAATAAATGCCTTCCCCCAAAGCATTTATGGGCAGGGAAAAGAGCTTTACACGACTATTGAGGCAAAGGGGATAAAAACTACAGTCTACAGAGAGGGGGAATTAAAAAAGAGACTGAAGAGCATTAGTTTTGAATGAACCTCAAAACCAGGTGTGTCACAGAGACAAACAAGAGGGGGAAAATGAAGCAGAGGAATGAAAGCAGGCCGGGAGATGTTGAGGAGAGAGGAAGGATGAGGAGGGACAGGATAAGAGGGCACATCCCAGCTCTGCTCACCTGCTTAGTGACCGAATCGATGAGCCTGACATAGAGATCCTGCTCGGTCCTGACTCCTGCAGCGAGGGAGAGGAGGAACAAACAACGTCGTTACAGGCTCCCTTCCCTCAGCAGCAGCACAAAACCATCTCATTTCGGTATTAAACCTTAATATTTCATCTTTTATCTGTATTAAACGCCCTCAACCAGCCCGGCTGGTTTGGTTTCCCAAGCCCAGGTAAACTCCAGGGCCCATCCCAGCAGCGAAGGGGCCTCACCAAAGGGGATTTCTGAGGGTTTTAGGAATCAGTGCCAGCACCTACAGCCTTTTTAGCCTTTTTAGCCTTTTTACCCTCCCCGTGCAGCCTCCAGGAGGGGTCGGGAAGGGGACTCACCGTTGCTGTAGAGGAGCTGCAGTTTGTAGTGCGTGCCGTTGTTGGTCTTCTCGTTGCCTTGTTCCTGAGGAGGGGGGGGGAATGAAAGAAAAAAAAACCCTTCCAGAACTTTACACTTGGCACATTTAAAATGCAAAAGCGGAGAATCGTGATGGAAGTGACAAGAAAGTTCATTAAAATTCCGAGAGGTGAATCCCACTGATTGGGGTGTATTAACCTTC